GATTTTCCCAAAACTGAGATTTCAAAGTCTTATTCTCACTATTTGTTATAAATATGAAAGTTAATAGGTACCTATGGAGTCTGTTGACGCTAAGATCGAGAGTCTGACCCTGGGGACTAGGAACTTGAGGACTAGCCGTCAAATGGGGACTCGCTGCAGCCTGAGGACTACTTCCCACCGTCTGTCCTCCTCCATACTGTGGACTGAGACTGTTCGAACCGTAGGGTGGTGCCTGTAAATCACGTCATGATAATGAACATGATGTCACGATTTCGTACATATTGTATTATTTCTATAAAGTATAAACTAACCTGCGGACTGGTGGACGTAACACTGGAGGTAGACAAATCCATCACCGATCCGCCGGGTGAGGTAGGCGGTCCACCGGGTTTCTGCATCTGCTGCATTTGCGCGACCGTAACGCATTTCACTGCAACATTCATGGAGATGGGACGTTCAGTTACAAACGAGTCTTGGACGCTCGTAGAGACGATCTCGTGCAAATTACCATCTTCGGTCTTTATCATCCCGGCTGCCGTGGCGGCGGCCATCGCCATCTGATGCTGTTGCGCGGCTGCCGCAGCTTCTTGATGGTAAACTCGCTCCTGCTCCTCCGGCGTCATACCGGTTTGTCCCAGATAGTACATATTTGCTCTCGAATGAAGTTGCTGTTGCTGTTGCTGCTGCTGCTGTTGTTGTTGCTGCTGCTGCTGCTGCTGCTGCTGCTGGTGCCGCTGCTGCTGCCGCCATCACCGCCATGGCTGCTGCACACCGTCGACAACGACAACGTCAACATCACGAGACATCGCTGGCATCACGAGGCGATCACATCACGTTCCTGTCTCTCGCGTCCCTTTCCGGAGCTACCACACGAGCCCGCCGATGTCTACGAGTCGCCTGCGACGGAGCCGCATCGACTTCCGTTCACGTAGCTGCCTCAACCGAGGTAGTGCGTCATCATCGCGGGCTGCGGGAAAGCTTCGCAGTCTTCACGTCATCCGGGGAGGCTTCAACCCTCGCGACGGTCGTCGTTTTCCCCGACGTGGTGGCGTCCGCGTGTCAATTTGGGCATCTTTGGAACTCTTTCATCTGCCGCAAGCTACGATTCTCCCCCGTCGGAACCGCCCAATGTCGGACTCTAAGAGCAAGGTCGGGCGCCAACCTGGCCCGCTTACTTACCACCGAAACTCGGTTCGCGACGGACCTCGATATTCTGCCGGACGTACTGTCGGTCACGCGTCGGGCACGATTGAGGCGAAAACGGCGCCGGGAGGTATCCCTACACACGGTTTGACACTTTGCCACTGTCACAGGTTGGTGAAAAGGTTGATCCTTTTATACCACATTATATTTCCAGATTTTCAAGCGGACATTTTTTGCCAGAGATTTCGATATATATATACATGCTTTCTCTCTCGTTTCAGTGCACGCACCTTAAACGGTGTAAATATTAAAATCAATAAAGGGTAATCGAGGTATCGGTCTATTTTCTGCTACTTACATTTAATATAATTCTTTTTTCTCCTCAGCATGTAACTATTTAATGCAGGTACGAAAGAGAGAAAGAGAGAG